TTTAAATTCTAATCACAGGCTTAGGCTTATTTGGCCAAAGCCTGATGTGTTTTCATCCTTAGTTGGATGTCATATTTGACGTTCCTTTATTTGTTTGAATTCCTTGGAGCCAATCATGGCAGTGGTTGGAACTGTGTCAAGCATCAAAAGGCTTGTATTGCTTTCTGCATGAAGTAATTAGAAAAAATTATAAACACTTGACAACATCCAAGAGAAAGATTCAGCGAAGGGTTATTGCATTAGAGGGTGTTAAAAATTATTAATTATAATAAATTTTTATAATTAAAATAACTCTTGTAAAAAAATTTGAACTTGAATTAAATTGCTTTTGAACGATAAGTTGTTTATATTTCCAAAATTTTTGGTAAACGTTATGGGTATGTTTTGAAAATAAAGGTAACACAATTCTTTTACGTTTATTTGTATCCTTCAGTATATATTATCAAATTTAACAATGAACATGAAAATTTTTTTAATGTTTATGTTCAGTTCTTGAGAGAATTTAAAACCACTTTTGGTAGTGGAATCCACAATATTTTGAATGAGAGTATCAAAATAGTCACAGTTAAAAAAAAAGAAAAAAGAAACCACTATTTCCCTCCAACTTGATGATTTTCTCGATTCATCTCCATTGCAAGAAAAAAACCCACTTTCTTATAAGATGGATTCAAATTCTTTATTTCAATCAAATTTTAGAGTATCCTCATATAATTTTTTCAAGATTTAATTATGAATTTTTTTAAATTAAATTAAAAATATGAAAATATCAAATGAATACTAATCAAAGAATTAAAATGTAAATATTTATTTTGTTGTCTTTATTTAATAATTTTCTGCAATTAAAACACTTCGGGATAGGTAATAATGGTGCTAAAATGTAAAATATGATAATTTACAAGAATATTTAATTTTTATGTATAATATTTATGCTATTAAAATATTTTCAACCATAATACTTAATATAATAACTACAACAATTAACTGGTTTTTATTAAAAAAATAAAAAATTGGCTGATCAAGAAAAATTTATAAAAAAAAATTTATTTTAAAAAAATAACTATAATGTCTACTAAAAAAAGATTGGGAATATAAACAACTTATTGTTGAAAAGCAATTCAATTTAAGCTGAAACTTTTTTGCATGAGTTATTTTAACTATAAACATTTATTATGATTAATAATCTCTAATACACTCTAATGCAATGGCCCTTTGAGATTGGGGTATTTTGGTACTTTTATCAAAAATTATATGGTGTTTCGTGAACTTTTGGTATAACTTTATAAGTATTTTTTATCCTTAACTTTTTCTACTTTAACTAGGGATATTTTGGTAATTTTATTTAAAAACTTGTGGGTCCCACAGCCAATTTTAATGGACGTTGTTGTATTTTGACGGCACTGGTATTTTTAGTCTCTTTTTAAACTTTGATTAGTAGACTTAAACCCAAAAAAAATTTATGGTGTCTGGTAAACTTTTAGTATATTTTCATGGGTATTTTTGACCATTAACCCTATTTTTTATTGTAATTAGTTTTAACAATAAATTAAATGACCCTTAACCCAGTTGTATTCAACTTGTTGAAAGTCAACTTGCATATGCGGACACATGGATTGCTCTTTTATTTAACCATAAATTGAAGTTAAAAAAAAGAAGTGGCGACCGGATGAGGATATGTATCTTGTTCATTAGAAAATTCCACACCTCTTGAATACTTTTTCAATTTTTTCTCTCAGATTTTTCTTGCTTTCTCCGCTGAAATACATCCCGTTCGGCACTGGTTTTTCATGGCCGAACAATTTCAAGATCTACGAGAGTCACATCGACGGCCATGAGGAGCTAAACATTCTTGTTCCTTAGGAGATTAACCAAAGTCTGAGTCATGGAGTTTGAAGGGAGCTTGCTTAGATCACTTCTTTAGATTTAGAAGTACACGTCTCTGTTCAGAACTTATGATTTCTAATCTTATTGGGTGAGTTTGTGTACTTCTTTATGACTGTTCAATCAGGATTTCGAATTGCTATGTGCATAGGTGCCTAATGCTCTTTGTTACAAAGTAAATTCAGTTGTGATTTTTGATTTGTTCAAATCAGACTTGTGACTGAGTTGATTAATGCGTAGCGGATATTGTTTAGTATTCATCTAGGAGTTCTAAGTGCATTTCATCATCTGAACAAACTAAATCTAAACAGGCAGTGAAGGTTAGGTGATTTTCCGAAAGAAGCTTTTCAACTTGTTGCTTTCATTTCTTATTGATAATCTGCTTCTAGTCATTTTTCTTAGCTACTCTTTGAAAAGAATTTTCACACAAGATAATTTTTCTTCAACTTAATTTTGTAAAAGCGCTCTGTTAATTGATTTTCAAGGAGTCTTAGCTCCTCAAGAGATCGACCTAGGAGTTACACAATTTACTACATATTTTCTGGAACGTAGAATTTTTGATAAGCTCCTACGACAAGAGTTCATCACACGTTCTTCAAACTCTTGCCATTCTCTTGGTAGCATAAGGCATTACACTTGGGACACTCGGTTAATGATTTATGTTCCTTCTCGAACAAAATACAATCATTAAGGCAATCATGTATCTTCTCACAACTTAGGTCGACAAAGCACAACCCATGTTTTGCATCATGCATTTTGCTTGGAAGCTTGTTTTCCTTCAGTAGCATTTGTTTCACAAGCGAAAGTAATCTACAAAGCTTGTGTCATTCCAACCATTTCTTATCTTCAATTTATACAATTTCAAAACTCCAAGCAATTTTGTGAAATCAATACAACCTTTATACAAAGGTGTCTTCGCATCACTATTCAACCTTTCAAATGTTGGCTATATCTTCAAGATAGTTTGTTTCATATGTACTGTGTTCAAATTAGATGATCCACAGCATTCACTATGCCCTCGACTACCACTACTCACATCTCGTATCTCCCTGTGCTTTGTCTAACACTTATAAGTTTGATCAATTCCATTAATAATTAAGTGGTTTTCACAAACAGATGGTAGAAGCCACTTGAGAAGGCAACACTCAACACAAAGGCAAATAATTCTACTACAATCATCTACATCTCAACTGCAAACTTAATAATATATTCTACCCCATCCCAATATTCCTTTGATAAACGATTGGTAGACATCCATTTCTTGTTCATCATCTCCAGCTAACATGAATCATTTAGAGGAAAATGTGATTAGTGACTCAAAGATAATGGGAGAATTAAACACAAATAGAAAATCAATGAGTCATAAGTGATCACATGTTACCCATCTTTAATTTTACTTCTGCTATTCAAGTTATCAACAATTAGTAATTCTAGTAATTAAAAACTAATAATTCCAATAAATTCAATCATGCGTCATTCCATTTGAAGAAAATTTCAGCATCATGACAGCTTAAAAATGAGCATTTCTCAAGCTTTATGTCCTCTGTTTGAACTATATGTGAACGTTAAAAAAATTACTGAACAACAAACCAAAAGCAGGGCAATATTAGAACTAATAACAACATTCATAAAAAATAAAGTTATTGAATTCCCAATAACATACATTCAAGTTTAATTCTTCGTACTATATAACATCCCAACTCAAATTTAATCATTTAAACCATTCTGAATATCTAAAACAATGCCATCTAAATAATTCAATCATGTGCTACTCCCTCTGGAAAAAAATTTGACAGTATAACGGCTTAAAAAAGAGCATTTACTAGGCTTTACGCCACCTGTTTGAATTATAATACCTTCGTAACATTATTAATCATCCATCCAGAACAATCCTATTGATTTTAACAAATAAAAAACAAAACTATAGACTCCACTAGTAGCAATCCCATTGATTTTAACTAGAAGAGTGCCTTAGAACCAGAACAATCTAATTAATTTAAACATGTAATACTTGGTAAAAGAACAAGAGACCCTACCAGCAGCAACAAAAAACAGATGTAGAGGGTGGAGAAGAAGGAAGAAATGGATGGGTGACAGGAAAGGAAGCAATAACTAGTAAAAGAGCAAGTAAATAATTGGTAGAAGAAGAAAGAAGAAGTGTGAACCAGGAGACTGGAGAGTGTACCCAGTTCTTGATAAGTGCTGCGTGTGGACAATGATGAGAGGCAGTGAACAACAAGCGACAACAGCGGACAGTGATGGAGAAGAACCCACGAGCTAGCAATGACAATGGACATTGACGAAGAGTGCAAAATGGTTGTGGGGTTGCCGGAATGGAGTAGTTGGAGGCTTAGGGGGGGAGCGCGAATGCAATAGAAAGTCTAAATTTAAAAAAAGAATGGTTCATATTAGGAGTTTAAAAGAAGAATACTTGACGGTTATCCTCTAAAACTGTTAAGTATTATCAACAAACACTTGACAGCTTTAAAGAACAACTGTCAAATATTTCTTTGTGAAACAATACCTGACGGTTCTAAATAAAACTATCAAGTATTTGTTGACAATACTTGATGGCTCTTAATGAACAATCGTCAAATATTGTTTCACTATTTAGTGTCTCCCCTTATTTGATAGTTTTTTCATAACCGTTATGTTTTTGACATCAAATATTTATAATTCTATAGTAGTGCTGGTCCGGACTAACTCAATGAGCCCAATTGATAAAAGCTCCTTTTTAGACTTTTCTGTCAGTATATTGCATTACTTTGGAGACTCAACTACAACAATGTTTAACTATTTAATTGTTCATGCTGTTCCTGATATTACTCTTTCACCTGCTCGCTCATACACGCATCACACAAAAGAATGAATTAGTCATATATGCATGTCACACTATGAGGAAAGGTTGCATGAAATGAGTGTCCCGCAAAAAATCACCATTTGTGTCTATTTTGGTTGTACGCGTGCTCCGGCTAGCTTTTGTTTATGATTTTCTATTTGGAAATCATATATTTGACCTTTCATTATGTTTTTAATATGTAGCTGACAGGACACACTAGCTTCAACAATATACGTTTTGCTTTTTATATTCTTCTGCTTGTTTGAATTCCTTGGAGCCAACCATGGAAGTTTTTGGATGTGTGTCAAGCACCATAGGCTTGTGTTGCTCTCTGCATGAAATAATTAGAGAAAATTATAAACACTGGAGAGCATCCAAGGGGAAGATTCAGCGGCTGAATAATTTGATGAAAAAGTTGGATGCTCGTCAACAAGATGTTGAATATGAACTAAATCAATTATGGCATCTAAAAGGGGCAGAACGAACACATGAATGTAATTTATGGTTTGAGCACGTTGATCGGGCAAGAACAGAATTTAACAGCCTCCTGGATGAAAATGGCCCCCATAGACCAAAAGGATGCTGTTTCATTTGTTCAAGAGTTAAGTTGGGGAAACTTGTTGAGAAAAAGATAGGAGATATTACCGAACTTCTAGATGATGTTCCAGATTTAGAGGATTTAATTGTTGTCCCTCGAAACAAGAGAGGTGATGTTTTGTCTGCAACACCAATGGTGGAATATGAAACACATAAACAAATCTGTATGGAGATTTGGGGATTCCTACTCGACAAAAAAACCAGAAGGATTGGTGTTTGGGGAATGGGAGGGGCAGGTAAAACAACTATCATGTCAGAGATTTATAGCCGACTATTGAAAGGAAGGAGTCAATTTAATTGCATTATTTGGGTGGAAGCATCAAAGGATCCAAAAAAGGTGCGACAAGATATAGCTTTGAGATTAAATTTGACTTTTCTGGCTTCTGATGATGAAAGAGGAAGAGCTTCAAGATTATTAGAAGCTTTTAATAGGAAGCAGCCATTTGTACTGATTCTGGATGAGGTTTGGGAACCACTCTCTATCGAAGAAGTTGGAATTCCTTTTCCAACAGCAGAGAATGGTTGTAAATTAGTTATAATAACTCGAAGCCGTACTGTGTGCAGAGACATGGAAACAGACAAGGATGTCGAAGTGAAACTTCTTTCAGAGGATGAAGCATGGAATCTCTTCAATGACAAAACTGGGAAACTTGTGCAATCAGATCCAGATGTACAACCAATTGCAATGGAAGTGGCGAAACAATGTTGTGGTTTGCCTCTAGCTATTGTTATAGTTGGGCGTGCGTTAAGAAACACAACCGATATAAGAGAGTGGGAGGATGCATTAGAACAGCTAAGAACTTCAAATATTGGTATTCACAACTTTGAAGTAGTATGTTCTCGTTTGAAGTTGAGCTATTCAAAACTAGAAGATGATGCAAGGAGGTATTGCTTTCTGTTTTGTGCTTTATACCCAAAAGGTCATCTAATTAATGAGAATGAATTGATTAATTATTGGGTATGGGAAGATTTATTGGGTGGTGGAAGCATGGCCGAGATGAAACGAAAGGGGCAAAATGTTATACGTGAGTTGATATCTGCTTGCTTGTTGGAATTAAAAATTGAGAAGGGGGTGAGATGTGTGAAATTGCACGATTTGATAAGAGATATGGCCCTCACAATCATGAGTACAAAGCCTAGATGCATTGTGAAAGCTGGCATGGGACAAGTAAAACTGCCGCCGCCTCAAGAATGGAAAGAAGATGTTCAGTGGGCATCATTGATGAGAAATGACGTGAAATATACAGGCTTCAGTCCAAGGTGTCCCAGACTCACTTCTTTACTCCTTCAATATAACTCATTTGAAAAAAATATATCGGATGACTTCTTTGACAATATGCAAGGGCTGATAGTTCTTGATCTCTCCTATAGTGGGATTAGTGCTTTGCCTATGTCTCTTTCAGATTTGAAGAATCTAAGTGCCTTGATATGTAACCAATGTTGGAATCTTGTTTATGTTCCTTCTTTAGCAAGGCTCACAAAATTGGAGTATTTAGATTTTTCACTTTCTGGATCGTTGACAGAACTTCCAGAAGGGATGGAACATTTGACCAATCTGAGACACTTGGATTTCTCCAGGTCATCCGTCCAAAACTTAGGAGCTGGAGTCTTGTCCAAATTTACTCTTCTAGAGGAGTTGTTGATTCTGGATTCGCCTATGATTCTAGTTGTTAGGATTATAGTTTTGATGATAACAAGTCAGAATTTCAGGGTTAAGTATTTTGATCGATAACGTGATCGAGCAATCAGTTATCGCTAAGGTTTCAGATAAATGATCAAGTATAAATCGGGTCTATAGTAGTCTTTTTGATCCAAGAACTATTCGATGAATAATTTATCGATAAAATGATCGATAATCGCTAGCGTAAATATCACATAAGACTTTGGGAAATTATCGATAAGCTGATCGATAATATCAGGTAAACAATCGAGTTACTGATAAGAGACCCAAATCTGAAGTGTATTTATCGATCAAGTTATCGATAAATCAGTCATCAATAACGACTTCGATAAAAGGTAACACTCTCTACATGTTCTGCACATTAGTTATGTTACAAGTTTATCGATCATATTTTCGATCATTTGTTTATCGATTACGTGCTCGAACTTTATGCTCTAACTCTCTGAATGCAGGTGATCAAATTCACTGATAGATCGATAACTTTATTGATCACAAAATTATCGATCACATGATCGATAATCAATGTCCTTATCTACTCTTACTCAGTTCTGCTACAGCTAAATTATCGATAACATTATCGATAACTTTAACTTATTTGCTTAACAAAAGTTTTCACATAACGTGATCGATAAAGAGTCTAAGAATTGACATATTCGCATTAAGTTATGGTGAACGAATGTTCGATCAAGTTATCGATCACTGGTTTTTCGATAATATGATCGATCATCCAATTCCATGAAAATCATGTTTTTCACAAAAGGTGATCGATAACCAGTTTCCTTGCCTTACAGGAATAATCTTCTCTTCATAATTTATTCGATCATTTGTTCGAATATTCATTGTTCGATTAAATGTTCGATCTTTTCAGATAGCCTGTGTTCTTCATTGAATATATATACCCATGGCTTATCGATAACATTATGCATTATATATTTATCGATAAGATGTTCGATCATCAATGACTGAAGCTTTATTTCAATAACATTTAAATTATCGATAATCTGTTCGATCAATTATGTGATCGATCACTTTTTCGATCATGCAATGATTTCCTATTTCTATGATAATTCTTAAAGTCAATGATCCAACACTTGATCGATAATTTTAGTGATCTACTTCGAAAAGTCTTCATTCTGGTTATCGATAACTTGATCTATCATCAAGTAATCGATCACTTTTTCGATCAAACTAAACCAGAATGACATTTTGTTCTTCTTACTGATAAATGATTTTGGCACAAATCCTTGAATGATAGATTAGCTTTCTATCTGTATTCAAGATTTAAGCACTCACCACAAAACTCTCATATGTTCTAAGTTTGAAATATGCAGATTAATGAAAAAACGAGTGCAACGGCTCTTCAACGGGATTACGTAGACTACGACCTACAGTGTCAGAAACTCAGACGCATTAATGGCGGAGCCGTTAAAACCAGTGAAACACGCAAACGAAGTCACAACGGCTAGAAGCCTTCCGTCTAACGGCTATTTAACAAGATCAACTATAAAAGGCGCGAAGAGGCATTAATGAAGAGATTGAATACCCGAACTACCACCTGCGATTATTTAGTTACGCATTCAATACTCTGTTTTTACGATACTATTGAGCATCAGTGATTATCATTGAATTCACTCTGTAAGAGAGCCATTCACTACTTTCTTTAAAACTTGAGAGACACTCAAGAGTGTGGACTCTTGAGAGGGGTTGTATCCTTACGGGAGTAAGGGGGAGTGATTGAGCGATTCAATTACTGTACCGAGGCACCAAGAGCCCTGTCGATCTTGGAAGATAGTAAAATACTCAGAGGTGTTCTGGGGACTGGAAGTAGGTCACGTGGATTAGACCGAACCAGTATAAATCTTGTGTCTCCTCTCTGCGGTTAAAATTCTCCTTACTCTGACTCTCTGTTTTTATTTAATACTTGCACGCTTTTAGTTTTAAGTTTTTGTAACTCACCCAATTCACCCCCCTCTTGGGTGAGATTGTTTCTAACACTAGTATCATCTAAGGATACAAGTTCTTACCCTTATGCAGTTGAAGTTGAAGAAATTGCACCCTGTCATAAGTTGTCTCTTGTGCACATGCAGCTACTTGACATTGGAGCTTATAGAAGAATTGTTAAACGTCTCCCGTTTTCTCAAATGAAGGAATTCAAGCTTGTCGTTGGGTCTCTAGACGAAGATGAAACTTCACTATTATTAGAGAGAACTAGTTTAGCAATAGATATGGGAGAGAAACATGGAGGAGGGAACCTTTCAGAAGCGGAGATCACCGAATTGATTCCGACTAATGTCATGGAGTTAGTAATTCAGAATTCTGATCGTACCATCAAACGCTTGTCTTTGCACTTAGTGGATGCAATGTGCTTGAAAACTTGCCATATAGAACGGTGTTTCCAGATGGAATGCATTCTGGAAAGTGAGGAGAACAATTTGTCACAGTTAGAGATAATGAGACTATATGATTTGCCGCGCTTGAGGATGATTTGCGGGGAAGCTGTGATACCAGGTACTCTAAAGAACCTGAAGAGTATTCATGTTGAAGGATGTGACTCACTGAAATTTCTGTTCCAAAAGCAGCTCATCCTTGAACTCAAAAGTCTTGAAGTAATTAGCGTCCTTAATTGCCCAGAAGTGGAAGAAATTATTGAAGGAGAGAGGAATACAAATGCTGAAGGCAGCAGCCATGCAGCCGAAGTGATCCTTCCAAAATTGATGACCTTGAAATTGCATTATTTAGAAAACCTGAAAAGCATATACAATGGGCACATTCAATGTGATTCTCTACGCACCATTGAAGTTGGTAGCTGCAAAGCTCTAAAGAAATTGCCTCTGGGTCTGTTCGGCATAGAGGAAGGTCAGCAAATATCACCATCAACTACTACTCTTGAACAAATATCATGTGAAACAGAGTGGTGGGAATCACTGCAGTGGGACCAACCGCAGGCTAAGCATCTCCTTCAACCATACCTTGTCCATCCTGGTGGCAGGTATGCCTCAGAGCACATATCACTTTGTTCATATGTATACTATAATAAATAAACTTATAATTTTTTATTTTTAAAATCTTTTATCCACTTGTATTTAATTTGATTGCATTATTCGCTTCTGATATGGAGACATGCAGGGACAGGTTTGCTCCAAGTAGCAGTCATACGGCGTGAAAGCAGTATTAAAATGGAGCCACAGTCATCACTTGATTTGATTCAAGTTGTGTTATTTTACAGTTAATGTTGAAGTTTGTGTAATGTTTGATATTTGGAAGCAAAACATTGTTGCTGCTTCAAAATTTATGGTGAGAGCACGGGAATTTTAAAGTTATTTCATGTTTCTTTTCCAGACTTATTGTTAACCATACGCCTTTGAAGAAGGATTTGGCGTGTTTGTCAAGTAAAGATGTGTCTATATCATTTACTATTTAGTTAACTAAATTGGTAATTGCGTAGTGAGAAACAGAGCATCACAGCTTGATCAAACAACATTGGCCTCCAATATCATGGCTTGTGAATGCTTTGGATTATGATGCTTTCTTGCTTGTAATTTCTCTTCTTCTTTTTTTTTTTCCCCTCCTTTTCTGAACCATATTTATTACTGAAGAGAAGGAACCTTTGAGTTTGCCAAAACTTGAATACGCACTCCCACACACATATTTAGGGCCTGGTCTTTTAAATTGCTTTTAATGGAGTCTGTAGGAGAATTTTAAGCTAAACTCAAGGGAATGTTAAAAGAAAATTTGTTTTCAACTTAATCTGGTAGGCTAATCAAAATCACTTGTGAAAATAAAATGAAAATAGTTTTCTTTCAACAATCCCTTATGTTTACCTTAAATTCTCTAAAATAAATTTCTTACATAGTTTAATCAAAATTTACTTTTTTTGTTAACCTTAAATAGATACAGTTATTTATGCCTTTATTATAGTTATTATTTGTAATTCCTTGTACAAATCTATTTGGCACCTTTTAAACTCTGTTACTTCTCATAAAATTATCAAGTTAACATTTTTTAGAATACTTAACTTCTATTAATTTTTATTGTGCCGAGCATTCACTGATGTAAAGTGATCTGCAGAGACAATTTTTATCTTACAACCATGGAGTACATCTCATGTATGTCTCTATTTTTATTTTTATTAGTGTGTGCTTTAAATATTAGTAGTATTACTTTTCAATTTAAAAATGAATTCTTAGACATCCTAAATAAAAGTAAGAAATTAGTACTAATTAAATATTTATAATATATTAAATTCATTTGTCATCCTACCTCTATTTAAAATATAAGGCAATTTTAACTAAAACTCACCAATTGAGATTTGGTTTCTTAAACTCAAAAAATTGCTTTAAAAAACTATGTCTTAAATGTAAATTAAGAAATGCTGTGTAAAAGACCAAATTGTTATCCTGTTGAAAATAAAAAGTGAACCATTAAGACTAACAAGTACAATATTAAAAATTATGAGTTAAATATTTCAAATAACAAGTTTGTACTATCAAATAACAAGTCAATATTAAAAATTATAAATTAAGTATTTCAAAATAATAAGCCAGTAATTAGAATTTGGAAATAACAAGTTCAAATAGCAAGGTAATTTGGTCTTTTTACACAATATTGGCTGATTTATATTTAAGATCTGATTTCTAACAGTAACTTTTTTAAATTTAATAACCCAAATCATAATTTTATATTTGTTAGGGATTTTATTTGTGATTTTCCTTTTATTTTATGTGGATGAAAAAAAAAAAAAGCCTGTTTAATCACCCCTCCCCCAACGCGTTTTTGACTTTTGTTTCTCTCGTCAATTACAGTCTTATCCATTGAAGACGGAATCATCGGGAGAGATTTTTTTTTCCTTTTAATCATTTAGAGGAATAAGGACTAGTTATGCAATATAAAAAAATTGTTCATGTTATTAGGGTACAAAATTATATGTAGCGTTCTCTTTCCCTTCTAATTTCTTTATTTATTATCATTTGACTGAAATTTTAACTATTGAAATTAGATATTTTTATAAAAATTATAAATAAATTTAAACAGTTAAGATTTAATCTAAATAATTTATAATTGTATTCTATTTTAATTTTATATTATTTAAATTAAAATTGTAATAATAATTTTATAAAATATCAAATAAAATATTAATTCCAAGAAGAGACAGTGATGGGAAAAGAAAAGGACAGTAGGAGAGGAAAGTCGCACGAAATTAAATCACCACTTCCATTTTCAAGCTCACACATTATTTAACCGATTTGACATAACTTTAAAAATTATTTATAAGTATGTAAATTGACACAAAATTTCACTCATATATTCAGTACTATCTCCAGTCTTAATTATAAGACCTCATTTATAATTGACAAACAAGACCTTATAATTAAAATCAGAAATAATATTTTATAAATTATAATTGAAAATCTACTTATAACCTATTTCAAACCGCCAATTATCTATTCCGTATTGGGCATCACTTTTCTCTTTTCTTCACTTTCTCTGCCTCAATGTGGATGGAGGGAACACAGAATCAACATTAATTTGAAGAAGCAAAAAGGACATGGAAGAGTATGAAAGAAGGGGAGAAAGAGTGATGGAAATGCGAAGCCATGACCAAATCTGAGTTTTGTGTCCAATTAAAAGCTTGGTAGGATTATTTCCTCTTCCCTTTTATTGTTCTCTCCTTTTTCCTTTATGTCTTTCCTTTTTCTCCGTATTCAACTCTCTGATTATGCAACACCAGGATTCTTCCTTTTCTTCCTTCCATCGATCTTACACTTAAAAATCGGACCACATAATTTTCTTTCTTATTTTTTTTCAAAAAAAGAAAAGAAAAGGCACCTTTTTGAACTGGTGAACTTGGTTGTGCCTTCGAGATTGGAATGCTGTGATTCCAGTCTTGTATGCCCTAGTTTGGCATCTTTTGTGTTTTGTCCAACCCGGACCCAAGTGATTCAACGGGTCTGATTGATGAGCATCCCTCATCTAAGATAATGTTTGAATGTTTGATATTACCTCCAGTCCGGTAACTAATTTGGAAAGATCAAGAAAGCTAAATAAATTGCTTAAATAGCATATGTTACATGTGTGTTATTAGATTATATTTTAATTTATATGTTAGATAAATTAATTTTTAAAAAAAATATAAATATAAATATTTTAAATTAATTTATTTAGCTTTTCTGAGTTGAATCTTATACTAAGGACCGTTAATAGGCGTTCATGCTATTCTTCACATTACTACTTTACTTGCTCGCTCATACACAATCACACAGAAGCATGAATTAGTCATATATAAGTGTCACCCAATGTATTACGAAAGGTTACATGAAACGTGTGTCTCGCTAAAATCAGCATTTTCTTTCTATTTTAGTTCTACATGTGCTCCAGCTATTCTTCTTTGCTCACAATGTTCTGTTTGGGCTAGCGTTGTATATATTTGTGCTCTTTATGTTGTTCCATGTATACTTTAGAAGATCATATATTATTGACCTTTCATTATGTTTTCAATCTGTAGTTGACAGGGCACGCTAACTCCAGCAATATACATTTTGCTTTTTATATTCGTCTGCTTGTTTGAATTCCTTGCAGCCAACCATGAAAGTTGTTGGAAGTGTGTTGAGCATCATAGGTTTGGGCTGCTCTCCGCGTGAAGTAATCAGAAAAAATTATAAACACTTGAGAACACCCAGGAGGAATATTAGGCAGCTTAATGATTTTACGCGAAAGTTGGATGCTCATAAAAATGATGTTAAAGATGGCGTAAATGTATTGTAGCATCTAAAGAAGGTAGAGCCAACGAATAAATGTAATTTATGGTTTGAGTGAGTTGATCAGGTAATAACAGAAGTTGGCAGCCTCTTGGATGAGAATGGCCCACATAGAGCAACTAAAGGATGCTGTTTCATTTGTTCAAGAATCAAGTTTGGAAAACTTATTGAGGAGAAGATCAGAGATATTGAGGAACTTCTAGAGAATGCTCCACGTTCAGAGGATTCAATTGCTATTTCTAGCAACAAGAGAGGTGATGTTTTGTCTACAACATCAATGATGGAATGCGAAACGCATAAACAAATATTTATGAAGATTTGGGGATTCCTACATGATATGAATACTAGAGGGATTGGTGTTTGGGGGATGAGAGGAGCAGGTAAAACAACTATCATGTCAGAGATTCACAACTGCCTAATAAAAGGAAATAGTCCATATGATTGCATTACTTGGGTGGAAGCATCAAATGATCTAAAGAAGGTGCAAGAAGATATAGCTTGGAAGTTGGGTTTGACTTTTGAAAAAACTGACGGCAAAATAGCAAGAGCTTCAAAATTGTTAGAAGCTTTTAATAGGGGGAAGACATTTGCACTGATTTTGGATGATGTTTGGGAACCATTCTCTATTAAAGAAGTTGGAATTCCGATGCCAACAGAAGAGAATGGTAAATTAGTGATAATAACTACAAGCCATATATATGGTGTGCAAAGAGATGGAAAAAGACAAGGATGTTGAAGTCAGAGTCCTTGAAGGGGATGAAACATGGAATCTCTTCAAGGACAAAGTAGGATAACTTGTGCCAACTGATTCAAATATAAATCAATTGCAATGGATGTGGCAAAAGAATTTGGTTGTTTGCCTCTAGCTATTGTTGCAGTTGGACGTGCATTGAAAAACACAACTAATATAATAGAGTGGGGGAATGCATTAGAACAATTAAAAATGTCAACTACTGATATTTACTACATTGACGAAATAGTGCGTTCTTGCACTACAAAAAAATATGACTTTTAGCGATGACTTAAAGTTAACACAAAAGTTAGGCTTTCTACGACGAGTGCCATAGCAGTTCCACGATGACAAAACAAAGTCGTTGCTGAAAGTTGTTCTTAAAAGTCTTTTTTCCTTTTTTTTTCAAAAAATATCATGTTTTTGCAATAATTTTGTTATGAATGTAATGTATTATCAATAAATAAAGTATTTTCATATATCGGTGTGTTAACAGCGAGAAAGTTTGAGAAATAATGTGATGTTAGTGCATTATTTTTGTTAAAGAGATGATGTAGAGTGAGAGAGGGAGGATGAGAGGGGGTGTGCATAAGAGATATATGATGTTTATATTTTGCTTAGTGTATTAGGGAGGTGAAGAGATGGATAATATATTTTCAAAAAATCATCATATTTTTGCAATAATTTGTCATGAATGTAATATGTTATCAATAAATAAAGTATTTTCATATATTGGCATGTTTGGAGCGAGAGTATTTTAGAAATAATGTGATGGTAGTGCCATTTTGTTTTTTGGTTAAAGAGATGATGTAAAGTGAGAGAGGGAGGACTAGAGGGGGTGTGCATAAGAGATATATGATATTTATATTTTGTTTGTTGTGCTGAGGGGTGAAGAGATGGATAATATATTTTTGAAAAATCATTATATTTTTGCAATAATTTTGTTCATGAATGTAATATATTATTA